AGTTTTGAAGCTTGAGTCATGAACAATAAAACTTATCGGTTAAATTTTTTAAAATGATATAATTTTTTTTTGTTTTATATAGTTAACCAATTGTTACTATAAGCAATTAATGCTTATAGATGATCTGCACCGTATTAACATTTTGAAATAAAATAATCAGAGTTACACATGTGTTCCAAACGATTATTAAAAACTTTTTAAATATATATAGTAGAAAATTTGAGATAATAAAATGCCATCAAATTTTAAAATCGCTGTAATTGGCGCCGGTAATTAGAAAATTTGAATATATGTTATTATACATATTCCATTATACACTCACTCTCAAACTTTTAATAGGCCCTTCTGGTTTGACGGCTATAAAACAATGTTTAGATGATAAATTAGATGTGATATGTTTTGAAAAAAATCCACATATTGGTGGTCTATGGAAATATGTCGAAATAAATGGTGATGAAGATCCACATTCTTCTGTTTATAAAAGTGTAATAATTAACACATGCAAAGAAATTGTATGTAAAAAGATTTTAAATCAATCTTAAATAATTATTAATACAAAAAATAAGAATAATAATAACAGCAAACAATTTTAATATCTAGATGTCGTATTCAGATTTTCCAATTCCTTATGATTGGCCTACTTATTTACCAAATTCAATGGTGGCAAAGTAAATTTAAAAGATATTTTCATTACATAGTAATAGTAGTAAGTTCTGATTAAGAAATTATGTGCATTATTATTTATATTTTTAGATATTATGAAATGTATGCAGAACATTTCAAACTTCATAAATATATTAAATTTGATACATCAGTTTTAAATGTTTCACTTCTTCCTGATAAAAAATGGAATATTAAATATATTGCAAAAAGTGAAGGAGTTGAAAAAGAAGAAATATTTGATTATGTCATGGTTTGTACAGGTCATCATCATAAATATAAATTGCCTAAATATAAAGGAATGGACATATTTGCTGGCCAGCAATTACATTCTCATTTCTATAGAAGGTATTATTCTTGTTGCTTTCATCAGTTATTATTTAGCAGTGAAATTTCTCTTTTACAATAAATTTTATTATTTTAGACCAAGTCCATTTGAAGATAAACGTGTAATTGTTGTAGGAGTTGGTAACAGGTAAAAAATATTTTTTAGAAAAATTCAATTTGTCAATTAATATTAACAACCTTAAAATATTTTATAGTGGGATGGATATAAGTGTTGAATTGTCACATGTTGCATCTCAAGTTTATCTAATTTCACGCAGAGGAAAACTGCCATGGATTATACCTCGTTTAGTTATGAGTGGAACTCCAATTGATCATTTAAAAACAAGGTTCAACTCAACTATTATACCAAGTTTTTTATCAGATTTTGTGACCAAAACAATTATAAAAATGACAATAGGAGCACCACCACCAGAATTTCGGCCTAAAACTCAACCATCACAAGCCCATCCATCTGTGAAATCTGACTTTTATGAACGTATGGTAACTGGAACAATCAAAGTAAAACCAAATATAGAAGAATTGTTACCTGGAGAAAGCAGATCAGTTAGATTTGTTGATGGCACTGTTGTTGAAAATATAGATGCTATAATTTATGCCACTGGATATTTAATTGATTATCCATTTTTGGATAAAGAAATCATCAATGGTGGTGAAAAGATTTCCAGTCAATTTGAAGAAGAGTACAGAGAAAATTTGTCTTGGATGTACAAATTCATATTTCCACCTAATTATCCTAATATAGCATTTATAGGCTTAATTCAACAAATTGGTGCAGTCATGCCAATTAGTGAAGCACAATCAAGATGGGTCACAAGTATGATAAAGGGCTATGCTGCACCTTTACCATCAGTTGAAGAAATGAATAAATCTATTGGAAAATATCATGATGAAATCCGTAAAAAATATTATTCATCTTCCAGGCATACTATCCAGTCAGAAATGATGCCTTACATTGATGATTTGGCAAAACGATTAAATTTCTATCCCTACTCACTATCAATTTTAAAGAAATATGGACTGGGAACTCTATTTAATGTTTGGTTTGGTTTACCAAGTCCTATTCAGGTAAAAGATACTTTTTTTTTGTGATCAATATATATTCATCCGCATTTAATAATGATGATAATGATAATGTATTTGTAAATAATTAGTATCGATTAATTGGCAGACAATCTTGGGAAGGTGCACCTGAAGCATTAAGAAAAATAAATGAAAGAAAATCTAAAAAGTCTAAATCTTCTAAATCATTAATTTTTGCATTAATTGTCATTTTGTTTGTATTTACAAAAAAAGGATATTTTAATAGAAATTGGTTAGCATTAAAATAATACCTGATTTGTAATTTATTATTTAAGGTTAGATTATTTCTAACCAAATCTGGTTAAAATTAAATTAAATCACATTAATATTGATTGGTATATGCAAGACTACAAGAAGTGATATTTTAATATTATTTAATGTGTATGAATATGAATATAAATCAATTATTAAATTTTTTTTTTATGAATCATAATTTTTGATCAATATTGTATTTCATAGAATCCAGGCATTCCATGGTTGTTCAATTCCAAAATTATTATATTAATAAATTAAAGTAACTTAATACAAAAGAACTTTAAATATTTTTGGAGAAATGCTTTACTTACTATGCATAGAAGTCAGAATTTTTTTCCTAAATAATACCATCTTCAGATCTTCTAATCCAGTTGTCTGACAAAGAGCTTTAAAATATCAACATCGTTCAGTTCAAATCAACAGTCAGAAAATTGATTGGCTGAAATTTCTGTTGGGGGACAACTAAAAAAATTTTAAAACTTGTACTACATATATATTCTACCTTTAAAAATGACTAGTAGTAATAATAATAAATGGAGAATAGATTTTACAAATCTTTCTGATCAAGCAAGGTAAAACTTATACACTACATAATATTTATTATTAATTTAATAAACTTGGTTTAAATTGACATTTAGACGACATGAAGTTAGAGGACAAGTGTTGGTGGTTGATCCACCACCACCACCAGGTTTTGTACCTTCAAGTTCCATTTCAACTGGCTTTAAAGGAAATTTGGTACTGTGTGAGCTTTATATATACATAAATATACATATATACATGTATATTTAAAATTAATGGCATATGTATATGTATGTATGTGTGTATATATATATATATAGAAAAATAAAAAAGATGATCAAGCCGTTTCAACAGAAAAAGATCAAGAACAACTTAAAATAAAAGTTATTATTTATATTGATAATTGTTATTGTTAATAACTTATACTTAATAAATACTATTGTTTAATAATATATTTATATTTATATTATTTAGAAAGCCTGGGATGCAGCTTTATCACCAGGAAAAAATATACCAATGAATGTATTTATGTTATGGATGAGTGGAAATGGAGTACAGATATTTAGTGTTATGATTACAGGAATGTTACTTGTTCAACCAATAAAAGCATTAATGAACATTGATAGTGGTAAGTTAATTGTTTTTATTAAAAAATCCTTAGGGATTGTTAATAACTTATTAAATCTTATTATTATCTAGTATTTGAAAGATATGAATCATCAAAAACCAAACCTTATTTAATATGGCCAAAATTACTGTATGTGTTTTTTCAATTTCTTATAATGTCTCTTGGATTATATAAATGTTCATCTATGGGATTGTTACCAACTGCTACTTCAGATTGGTTAGCATTCATGGATCCTAAACAGGTAAAAATTTCATTATCTCTTTTTATCAAATTAATTATAATTATAATTATATACTAAATTCTTTTTTAAAATATATTCTTAGATTCTAGAATATTCTGAAATATAAATATTTTATATAAATAAATAAAATTTTGAAATTGATTTAAAATTCCATTCCAATGAGAATATATATATATTATAGCAAAAGTTCTGGGATGATCCAATGTATAAGTAACTTGTGTAAAACTGTTTCTAAAAATTCATACATGTATTAAGATTTAATTAGGTTAAACATAATGATTATGATAGTTATGCTTGTGCTTGCTTAGAAGACTTTTCTTGTGAAGACATACTACTAGATAATGAATGACATTATTCAGTGAGCTCAAGAATGACAACAACAATATTATATTTAAATATTCTATGATAATGATAATTGAAAAAAAAAGAAAGGGGGTAACAAGCACAAAACCATATATTTTGAAGTGCAAGTAGTCCAAGATAAAAGAAAAGTTGGAACAAATATGTGTTTGCAATAACCTCCACTATCCTTGACTTTGTATATATTGTATATATGTGTGTATAATATATATAAGTGTTAGTCAAGATCTATGAAGTTTGCAAAACGAATGTTTATCGATTATTCAATAATTATATAGGCGAGTTTGATCGAAGTAAGTGTTAAAGTCGAGATCTACAAAGCTGTTTGTAAAATATATTTAATGGACGTTTTATTATATAGACGGGTTTGATCGAAACAAGTGTTAGTCAATATCTATGAGGTAAAACGAATGTTTATCAATTATTCAATAATTATATAGGCGGGTTTGATCAAAATAAGTGTTAGACAATTTATACATTTTATAATGAATAAAATACGTATTTTACACATTACGTACATTATACGCGGAATCAAAAACATACTGGTACTAGAACCTTTTCAGTATTACTAATATGTTACAAAATTCCGTGCCTTATTATTATATGCGGAATCAAAACGTACCTTTTCGGTGTTATTATTATCATTGAAACGCGATTATTATTATATTAATATTAGTAATTCGTTTCAACGGATTTTAAATGAAATTTTCTTATATGTCCAGCCACTCCATTGAAACGAGATTTATACTGTAGCTTCCTAACAAATGCATGATCATTCATTCGATTTGGTCAAATATTTAATTCCAAAAAAATTTTTTTTCATTTATTGTTTAAAGAAAAGCACGTGATTATTTTTACTTGGAGGCATGAAAATTGTTTAATAAAACATGCCATGTAAATCATATATTAATATTAAAATCAGTATTCGACACGATACAAGTATTTGGTTGTTGATAGTTAATAAGAAAAATTTTTTTTGAAAAATCAGACTTAATATTTATACAACTTTATATCTTGTTGCTATCATTTATTCAGAGCTTTACAATTGATCAATGTTAATTAATTATTTAATATAGTAGCTTATTTGATTATGTCTGAGTGAAGAAATTAAAATGGGAAAATTATCTATCAAAGAAATAAATAAATAAAAATCAATACTGTTTTTTTATCTCGCATGCCAAATTTACTACTTATTATTACCACAAGCAAAATTTATTATTATTTTAATATCTATTTAAATAATTCCACATTAAAGGATTATTTCCGTTAGGATGATAACATCTTTCATTTCTTCTTCCAATCTCGTCATCTGAATCTGAATATTCATTTTCTGGTATAATTCGTGAATTTCTTTCATGTTCTATATATATATATATATATATATATTATTTATTTATTTAGTATAAATATATATAAAAGACCAATGAGTGAGTATGCGTGTATATATATATACTAACGTGACATTCTTATATCTGGATCTTCCTCCTCCTCTTCATAATCCGTATCATAAATACTAGGTGGAACATCTATAAAAAAATCAAAATAAATAATAATGAAAATTTTCTTCGACATAAATAATAAATTATAGATATAAAATTAATTACTTACATTGTAGTGGAACACTCGGAGCAAAATTTAAATTTCGTAAATTTTCAAATACTTTTATTCTAATAATATAAGGAATAAACAAATTAATTTTCTAACATTAAAAAATATTATTTTTCTCATGGGGACTCATACTTCATGTTTTCAAGATATGACTTTGTGTTCATATTTTCCATGTTATTGGCTGGAACATCCAATTTATATTCTGGTCCATAATACTCAAAAAAATTATTATGAGGTAGCTCTATCAAATATAATTAATATATGTAAGATTTAAATGAATATATAAATATACAGAGTCGTTGAAAAAATATAATAAACGTTAAATTTTTACCTTCAGGTAAATTTTCTCCTATTAATACACCTGTCTCATAAGTCCATGCGCGTGCAACATTACGAATAGTGTATCCACCTCCTCCAACAACCAACAAAGGTAAATTAAACCCTTTAACAAATTTTACACATTCTGCATGACCTTTCATTGAAAGGTTAAAACATCCTAATCTATCTCCTGCAAGTGAATCTGCTCCACATTGCAAAACAATAACTCCTGGACGATACCAATTAATGATATGTTCAACTACCTATATTCATTTGTTTGAAGATTTATATCAATATTAATCTTGAGAAGTGTCAAAAATAAATTCATATACATAATTTGAGTGTGTACCGGACAAAAAACGCTATTATAACTCATATCATCCATTCCATCTTTTAATGGAAAATTCACTGCATAATTTTTGCCCCTGCCTATTCCTATATCCTAACCATCCACATATATATAATAGATGAATAGTAATATTAATATATGAATACGAATATGAAAAATACTCTATCTGTAATTTAATAATATTTTGAAAAAAAAAGAAGATATGTATTCATACAGAAACATCACCAGTCCCTGGAAAAAATTGTCCAAATTTATGAAATGAACATGTTAAAACTCTATCAGTTGTATAAAATGCCTCCTCGACACCATCACCATGATGTATATCTATATCAACATAAAGGACGCGTTGATAATATCTTTTTAATTTTTTTTTAATGATTAAAAAAACTTGTTAAAATTCAAAAAAATAATTAAATAATTAAATGAATCTCATGTATTATATTAATAATTTCACATACCTTAGTAATTCTAGAATAGCCAACACAATATCATTGACATAACAAAAACCAGACGCTTCAAACCTTTTTGCATGGTGAAGACCTCCTGACCAATTGATTGCAATGTCTGCGTCGCCACTAGTCAATTTATTTGCTGCATCTATTCATACACACAAACATACAAGTAATTAACCAATAATCTATCATTATCATTAATTATCATTATCATCATCATATTACCAATTGATCCACCAGCTGAGATCGAACAAAATTCAAATAACCCATCAAATATTGGACAATCTTCCCCCACATTAACTGTCATAAAATTTTGAAAAGGAAAAACAAATATTATAAATATTATATAAAAGCAATATATATAATGATTAATTAAATAATAAAAATGTTTATAATACAAACATCGCGTCTGTTGTTGAGATAATTCTTCAACATTCAATGGTGTAACTCTATACAAGAAATCAATATATTCATCAGTATGAAACCGCGTCATTTGTCTTGGTGACGCACGTTTAGGAGTCTAGAAAAATTTTATAAAGTCAACCCCTAATCACGTGATTCATCATATTTTCACAAGAGAAAGCATTAAAAAACTTACAAGTATTTCCATTTTACGAAATAAGTTATAGTTTATGACTAAGTCATGGGTCATTCGCATTCTATGAGGTTTCATCGGATGACCTTAAAAATAAAAATAATAAAGTTTACATGAAATACGAACATATCAAATATACATGAAAATAACCTACGAAGATGGTGAATACCTGGTCCATATGTAAAGTTTCCAACATCCTCTATTAAAACGCAATAAAATAATATACAAATGTTTTTTTACATAAAAGGGTGTATAGTATGAGCTGAACTGATAATAATAATTAGTCATTTATTGAAATGTTTTTTTATTTTACCATCATAATAGTATACAACGTGTCTTTTTGATTTAGTATGTTCTGCGAGACTTGCCATAACTTATTTGAAAGTAATAATTATTTTTCTTTGACTAAATAAAATAATATTTGTAGTTTTATTTTTTTTTTTATATAGGATTTTAGAAATAATAAAAAATTTTACGAAATAATTAATATTAAGGTTGTACACACACACGTATGTACATCAATCAAATTATTTTTAGAAGACGTGAAAGAATCATAATTTTCGCCAAAAGTTTCATTTTATAATAATAATAATTCTTTTTTTTTTTTTATTAATAAATAAATAAATAAAATTTTTTGAATAATAGGGAAAATGATATGATCAGTTGTAAAAGCCAGTCATATCATAATGTCTTAAATTATCATTTTCCATTTGCAGTTTAGCTATAATTTTATTTAATCCTTCAATTTCTTGATGACATCTTTTAATTTCTTCATCACGCGTCTTAATTTCAACTTGATGTCTTTTTAAATTTGTCTCTGAATAATCTTTCCACGATTCAATCGTTTTAAAAGAAGAAAAAAGTTGTTTTTCTTGATTTATGAGAAATTCACGAAGTACTTCCTTAGCATCATTTGAATCCACTCGTGAAATTATTTTATCCGCCGAGCTTGGATTGTATGATCGCAACGATTCAGATGGTTCCGCTCTTGACTTTTTTAAGGTTGATGTATTGATCGTGAATGATGATGATGATTCAGTGTCGTCTTTAATATTATTGTTGTTATATTCAGGTATTTTTGCTGATAATGATGTTAAAGATGATACTTGATTTGGATGATGATTAAATTCAACAGATTTTGTTAAAGAAACTTGATTAATATTGAATTCGTTAGTTTCCAACCAATCTTTAGGCTGATGAAATTTTGATTTATTAAAATTTGCTAGTTCTAAATTTTCAGCAGCGATCATATTATTGTTGCTATTGTTATAATTTCCAACCAAATTTGATGAAAATTCATTATTCACATCTGTTTTTGATTGCAGATTTGTTGAAATGTAATTATTTTTTTGAATATTCTGTGGAATTAATTTTTTAGTTGAATTAATAAAATCTATCTGATCCTTATTGTCAACAATTAAATTTATCGACCTTGGTTTATTATTATTACTGTTACTGTTACTGTTACTGTTACTGTTATTGTAACTGTTATAATTATAATTATTTGGTTTAAAGGTAATCAAAATTTCACTGTGCTTTCCTCGATAATAATTATTAATCTGTTGGAATTCGTCGCTTTTCTTAATAAAATCAAGTAATTTATATTCAGAGTAATTACCGTTCCAATTTAGGTGTGCATTCAATGTGGACAATTTAACTTTTCCATTTCCGTATATTATCAATTTACGAATGAGTTCTTTTGGCTTAGGGTCAAATCTAGATAATCTATGCACTACCATTATTCCTTTCGAATCTTGATAAAAATCGAATTCTGTATAATTCTCTAAAAGTGACATAACTTTAGAACGAGGATAGTTTATGCTTTTATTAAGGTAATCAGAAACGACAGAAAGTGAAACCATCCTTTTATCATTTTTGAACAATTCACGAATGCTCCTAACGATCTCAATCTCTTTGGATTTTATAAAAGCGGAAGTTGATTCAGAATTAAACACATAATCTGGTGAAGAAGATAAAAATTCTTTTAATCTAAGTTTTGGGGAAAAATCTAAACGTTTCAAGTAATCACCAATTAGGGAAAGTTGGACTCTCCCGTATTCTAAGAGATATCTACGAACGTGACATAATATATTGTGATCTGTCGGTTTAAGACATATGTATATTTCGCCAGAAATTTCCTTGATGTTTAAATCTTTTCCATGACTATATATTAATTGTTTTGAATTTGATATTGGTAATTGTGAATATGACTTTAAATAATTTTCAAGTTCTGATAGGGTAACTATACACTCTTTCACAATGTATTCACATATCAATTGAAAAATATATTCTTTGCTTGATCTGTACTTATTGCTACTATTCTTAATACTACTATTATTAATATTATTATCACTATTACTCCCATTATTATTATTACTCCCATTATTATTATTACTCCTATTATTATTATTACGAATACTATTGTTAATAATATCATTATTAATGCTGCTAGTATTACTGCCATTACTACTACTACTATTACTAATATTACTACTACTACTACTACTACTACTACTATTATTATCACTGATACTAACACCACCATCATTGCTGCTATTATTATTCGGTTCAAATACCCCAGGCTTATTCTCTACAAATAAAATTCCATCGTTTTCATAACAATTAAATGAGTTTGAACAATTTTTAAGAAACTCTTTGAATTCATAGGAGATTGTGCCTTTTACCCCCCTAAGATATATTAATAATTCGGTGCTTGTCACACCATTTTCAGAATAATTTTTTTTAATATATTCTTTAATTAGACTTTCTGTTTGTTCAATTCTATTATTAATCATTGTTAAAGAATGTTCATCAATAATCTTAGCCGGGTTTCTAAGTTTAACACAAGTAATACCTTTTACTTTATGAACATGAAAAATATCCTGATCTTCAAATAAAATTTCATTGATTTCTCCGTCCTTTAAAACACCAGAACGTTTTAGATATCTTTCTACCTCGTAAATAGAATCAATCAAAAATTTATCCAGATAATTTTTTAAAGCCTTCACTGTTTCATCATTATCATTATTAATTTGATTAATCTTACTATTTGGTTGATTTTGCAATTGTCGCCATTGTTGTTGTTCTTGATGTAGTGATGACGATGGTGGCAGTGGTGGTGGTGGTTGTCTTTGCTGTTTGTACAAATTATCATTAAAATGATTTTGTGAAATTTGTTCACCATTATTAGATAAAATTAAAGAATTCTCTGAAACGTAAAAAGAATTATTTTTAATAATTTTGTCAACATTATTATTACTGAAGTCTATTAAATCTCCTGATATAATACTAAGCGATCTAGCATTAGAATCTATATAATTGTGTTGTGGCTCTTGAGGATTTACTATTTTTTTTAATTTAACAATTGTTTGGTTATTCTCGGATGATTTCGTCAAAGAAAATTCTCCCGAATGTTCTTGTAAAATATTTTGAAGCTTATGAGTGGTTATGCATACGCTTTGAGTCTTTAACCAATTTGCTAAGTCCTCTATGGTAACTTGTAACGGCAATTCTGCATCGAAATAAAGTCTAATTTTGTCAAGAGCAGGTGAAAAGAGTTGAGTATCTGTCGACATTTTAGCTGTTTTATTATTATTATTATTATTATTAAAAATTTTTTTTCTGCGGAAAAAAAATTATGGCCCTGAATACTCACTTACTTATCCATCACTTCTATTATTAGATGGACCGTCGTCAGTATGCAGATCAAAATTATGTAGAAAAGACAAAAATGAGGCCTTTTCTAATAAAACTTGAGGTTCTTTGCTTTTTTAAAATTAAGTAATTGGTAAAAGCATCAAACTCTGTTTACATCATAAAAAAAGTGGGAAATCATTTATAGAAATAGTAATTTATTATAAATTTTTAATTATTAATATCATCATAAATCTTCATCAGGATCCTAAATTATAAAATTGCATCGCGATGTAAACGGGTGCCATTGCACAACCTTATTTCAAGATGCGCAGCCTACCCAACATTGCACAACGCATTGTTACATTGTGATAATTTTTTTATTTCAACATTTCGCATCAAATTTTATTGTATTAAAAATAAAAAATATATATGTAAATTCAATTTGAAAAAATTACATTTTTTATTAATTAATATATAATCATAAGCAAACAGAAGAGACCGTTTTGGCAGCACAAAATTTTAACCCATGCAATTATTGATTGACCAATCAAAATCATGAATTTGATAATGTAAAAATAAATGTTGATTCGATTCATTTTGTCAACAATCACTTCACCAACAATTGTTTCGTTAACAAATAACAAATAGTTCAAATTTAAGAGGTTGGAAGCAACCATACGACAAACCTTTGAAATAGTCTAATAAATTAAATTGCACTACTCGAAAATGTATTTAAGAGTTGGTTTTCAACTTGGTTGAAGAATAACTCTCTTCCTAACTCTTCTCTTGACCATATCTTAATATAATGAATGTCTATGAAATGATTGTAAACAATAGAGGTTGGAATCAACTAAAATAGTCAACTACTAATAGTACTAATACTACTAATACTAATACTAATGCTTGCTAATATTATTGTCTGACCAATTACAATTTTTGTGTCTTATCACTCAAAATGGAAAATTTTTATGCAGAAGAGTATCAATACCATCAATATGATGATGACAACAATAGTAATGTGTTGTTGATGATAATTTTACATGTGAATGAATAACACTTCCAATACAAGGTCCAATAGTTCATTGGTTTCAGGTTCCAATGATTTAAGCGATGGTTCTAGAAGACCTTTAAAAAAAGAATTGTAACATATAGTTTTGTGTGGAAGTATTTTGAAAAAGTGAAAGTTTCAAATGGAAATTTGCAAATTAAAAAAAAAAAATAAAAATATTATTATTAGTCAAACGATGTGTCACATTAAATGATTGGGAAGTGTATTTTCCGAAATTTTCTGGTGATCAACGTCGAAATTCTACTAATAAAGTTAGCCACAAACCTTAATTTTAACCCTTTTTTGCTCACCACCAAATTTGAGACAGATTTTTCAAGACTTATTCCTTCTTTTAGAAAAAAATTAGGAGGTTATTAATAAAATAGAAAAAAATCTTGGTGTTAAAGTTTATCAACCAAATTACCGCATTTGGAAATTAATTATCTATTTTTGGT